AAAATTGTAGATAAGGGTAGTCATAGCGTAAAGCTGCCAATTCACTAGCTTGTCGAGCTGAGGTGATGGCTACGAGAAAAACTGTTTTAAAGGTGAGGAGTCTTAAGTCAGTTGTAGCTAATGGCTCAAAAGGAGCTTTGGTGAGTTGTTTGAAAACAAGAGTTAGTGACCATTGTGGAGAGGGAGGTTGAGTATCAGGGTAGATATGAGAGAGACCTTTCAGAAAACGTTTTGTTGTTGGATGCTTGAAGAAGTTTGTTGCTGGAGAATTTGGAGGTTGGTATGATATTATTACCAAAAGGTAGACTCTTAAGGATGAGATGGAGAGGCCCTTGGATTTGAGATGTAGGAGAAAGCAGAGAACAGTGGAAAGTGATGGATGGATGGAGGATGAAGAGGAAGATTTGGTAAAGGATTGAAATTTCTTCCATTTGTACAGGTAGGCTTTCATTGTGGGTGGTCTTTTGGCATGATGAAGAATGTTCATTAATGAGGGAGAATCCTCCCTGCTGTCAGGTGCAGAACAGGTAAGTCCGGGTGTAGGACATGGGCGTTGTTCTGTGTGAGAAGGTGTGGCAGGCGGGGGAGATGGTGGATGTCTGGTGAGAGACTGCTGAGAACTGGGAACCAAGTCTGTCTTGGCCACCAAGGGGCTATGATGGCATTGGTTTTGTCTTGTTGTAGATGGACGACAACTTTGTGGAGGAGAGGGAACAGTGGGAAAAGGTAGGTAAGAGTTTTGGGCCAACGGCCAACAAACGCGTCTCCCTGGGAATGTTTTCCTATTCCTGCTTGGGAGCAATAGAGTTGGCATTTCTAATTTGCTTGGGAGGCAAAGAGATCGAGAGTCGGTGTGTCCCATTTCCAGCATAGTTGGCAGAATACTGATTGATCTAGTTCCCACTCGTGAGCTTGGGCATCTATATGGCTGAGTGTGTCTAGGTCATTGTCTTGATCAGCGATGCGTAAGGCTGCGAGACAGATATGATGTTACAGACACTACTCCCAGAGGTTGACCACTAGGTAGAGGAGACTTGGGGAGTGGGTGACACCTTGTTTTAGGATGCAGTACATTGCTGTGGTGTTGTCGGTGGCTATCTGTACCATTTTTTCCTACGAGAAGGTTTCTGAAAGCATTGCAGGCCTTTATGATGGCTAGTAGCTCCAACTCCTTTATGTGGAGCAGTTTTTCTTTGTGACACCATTTGGTGTGGACTGTAAGGGATTTGCAATGAGCCCCCCAGCCGATGTGACTGGAGTCAGCAGTGACTTGGATTCACAGGCAAGGTTGTTGGAATGGTCGCCCGATAGAAAGGTTGGTATGGGAATGCCACCATTGAAGTTGAGAGGCCAGTTCTGGAATGACTCTTAGGAGAGTGTGGGGAGAGTCTTTTAGTGGATCTAATAGAGCCAGAAACCAGGATGGGAGAGATCTGTGGGGAGAGTCTTTTAGTGGATCTAATAGGGCCAGAAACCTGGATGGGAGAGATCTCATTTTGAGACGAACATGCTGTACAACTGATGTCATAGAGGCCATGGTGCCTAGAACTCGTTGCACTGTTAAGGCAGGTATCAAGGCATGCGGAATGAAGCTGCGAAGTAAGGTTAAGAGATTTTGTCTATTTTCTGCAGGGAGGAATGCACGAGCTCATGTGGAGTCTATGAGTGCACTTATGTAATGTATAGTCCTTGCAGGTTTTAATGTTGATTTCTGTTTGTTGATAGTTAGACCGAGATCGCAAAGAAGGGCAAAGGTGAAACGGGTGTCTCATCGAGCTTTGCAATGGGAGTGTGCTACAAGGAGCCAGTCGTCGATATATGGAAAGACGAGAATGTTTTGAAGTCTGAGGTAGGCGGCTACCAGCGCCATGCGCTCAGTGAATACTCTCGGAGCTGTTGCAAGGGAGTTGTTGAATGGGAGTCTTTTGAATTGGTATGCTTGTGATCCAAGTTGGAAACGAAGGAATTTTCTGTGTGCAGGATGTATTGCAATATGAAAGTAGGCATCTCTTAGGTCTATGAAGAAAGGAAAGAACTGATTCTAGAGTAACCATGCAGAATTTTGTGGTGACAATGTAGTTGTTTAATAATCTTAAATCTAGAATAGGGCAAAGTCCCCCATGTTTCTTGGGGAAGGTGAAATAGCAAGAGAAACCCCCGGTGTTTTGATAGACGGATTGTATGGCATCTTTGACAAGTACATTTGTTATTTCTTCTTGCAGGGGTTGTGACGGTGGAGTAACAACATGTGTTGTTGGAGGAAGTTCGAGGTTGAGCCATTTGAACTGGTTGTAAGGATTGTTTCCAAAGTCAGAGTTTTAGCCTCAAGAGGTGAGATCGAAGAACTCCACGCTTAAAATTTTTGCAATGGATACAGGAGGAAGTTTGATGTTGTTCTCCCAAACAGAAAAGCCACTTAGTGTGTCTATCAGAAAGTGGTATTTTATTTTATTATCACAGACAACACAGTGCTTAAATGGGCCCAACAGGGCCATGAATAGGAGAAAATAATTTGAGGAGAAAAACCGATGATTGAAGGAGGGGTTGCTGAGGCCGGCGGCTGAGCGAGGGGAAAAGAAAAATCTCTGATGATAAAGAGTTTGATCTAATAGTTTAAAAGAAAAATATTGATAACAGGAAGGAATCAAGAATAGACTCTCTTTCTCTTTTACTCACAGAAGCAGAATTATGAGGCTGTCAATGTGGTGGTTGAAAGAAACTGAAAGGAAACGCTTGGCGCCAAGGTACTTATATGAGTGGGGAGGGGCATGTTCTAATGTGTTTATTGCTACCACAGAAGCTCTAGAATCTTCTGATGAGGCTCCACACAGGTGCAAATCACCCAGGGTGTGATTCACAGAGGCCATGAAGAACTTTTAATTTTTAAATTTTCTTCCTTCCTTCCTTTGAAAGACTGTTATGACCTGATAAACGTATTATCCAACCAACATTCTTGTTTGTCTTTTCCAGTAACAGCCTTCCAAAAAGTTGCAATCTTCATCAGAGAACCAGTTATATGTAGATAGGGTCTGTGAGTATACAAGGCAAGGCTTTCTGTTGAATCAACTCAACCTTGGAACGCTCTTCAAAGGTGGTCTCCATCCCTCCTACATACGTTTTAGATAGACCTGCCTTGATAAATCATGCTTTACTCCCCCTTCTTTTTTTAAAAAAAAATAATGTATGCTTTTATTCTGTTCTATTTATCTATATAAACAGATAGTGATTGTATTGTTTAGAACTACATATCACCTGGACAGACCTGGTGGCCAGAGATAATAAAATACCCTTGCTGGGATAGAATGTGGAGTTGGAATGGAGGTATGTTGCAAGTTCTAGTTTATTGGTCAGTGCCTTTGCTTACAAGTGGGCCGTCGATAATGGCAAGTAACTATTTGCCCCAGTAACAAGACGAACAACAAAAATTAAACAAAGGTTTTAAAAAGGGGAAAACAATACAAAGTGAGATAAGAGGAACATTGTTTAGAGGTCTAGGAAGATCCTGATAAGATCAGTGCAAAACTTGGAATAAATGCCTCATCTAGAAGAGTTTTAACATAATTATACCCACTCCCTACTATCTGTCAGACAGGTGTAAGAGGTCCAGGGCCAGTGTATGCTTCATGTAGCTGAGGAGTTGTCTATCTGGCAGGCACCATTTGAAAGGTTATCCATTTCAGCAAACATATGATGATCGCAGGGTGGCATACATAATTAATTAATGCTTCTAAGTGCCTTTATGGGTCCAACCTAAGACATTTTGCTCGCTGAGGTACAGCAGTAAACTCATCCCCCTGCATGAATCAAAGTGCAAAGTCAAGGCTAATCAAAATCCCAGAAGCACCTTTTCTCCTTTTTGGCAGAAAAAGGCTACAGCAATGATGAAATGACTAACAGTTTGATGCCCTTTCAATGGCATCTAAAATCAGCTACTCAAGTGGGCGGGTTTACATTGCTAAACAGTAAGTCCAGACTTATAGTGTTTTGTGCAATCCACTATATTTTTAAACAGTTTCCATTCAGGTACAGGGACAAGAGACTATCTGTGTTAGGAATAAAAACACAAAGAGATGCTGGATTAGTTTCAGCTAAAGCAAAATTCTTTAAGTAGCAATAAACCATTCAATGCCAGCTGTTTCCCTAGAAAGCTCTGTCTTCACCCCACACACTACTGTAAGGAACACGGCGCCATCTTTCCCTGGCTGCCAAATTTCATCTAGTGGGGCTTTCTGATATTGCATAGGTTGCTTTATGTGGCACTTTGAAGGTGCCAAAGGGGGCTACACAAAAATGTAAGCCAAATCTAGCTGGTGTTGAAGTTGTAACAAGACCTTTTCTTGCTCATGCTGCAACATGCTAACTAACGTGACTAGCCCCATCCCAGACATTCTTTAATCTATGTCAGGCTATAGCAATACCTGAGCCAGATGTGAAGAGGATAACGTTGTTATGGCTGGACCTTCTAGTGTAACAGGTAGTGGGAGCAGACAGAGCACTTTCCCCTATTAAATTCTGTTCTAGCAATGGGAAGGGTAATTGCTCATTTTAAAGAAACCTAGCTATTAGGAGAACCTGAACATTAGAAAAGAATTATTGAAAGAAAATGGTGTTAATGGGATCTGGAAAGTTTTTGTAGAACATGTATTTACTAAACACAAAAGTTACACTCCAACACAAGAATCATTGTATTTTGGAAAGAGAGAGGGCACATTATATAAATTAAGACAAAATGTATTGTTGAAAAAATATATAAAGATATACAGTAGTCCCAAAGGTGGTTGAGTTACGCTGTATATTTGAGTTATTATTGTACTGGTCAATTGTTTTTGTTATCAAGTATTGTTCAATGCATACTTGTGTGTCTTTTGTTTATAATAAAAACAATTTAAAATAGCTTTTAAAAGAAATCTTTAGAAGAGCTTGCCAGCATCATTAGTAAAGGAACATTAATTTATTCTGTTTTCTCAGGTTATAGTAGGCAAAAATACAAACATTTTATACGTGCTTCAACATGGTGTAAGCTTTTGCCAAACGTTGGGCTGAACAGTATTGCTGCCACAAAATACAGATCTAGAAATTAAAAAAAATATTAATATACTTTGGGACAAATAATATTTTAAAATACAAAGTTAAATTTATTAAAATAGAAAGCTGATCTACACCTCTCCCAATCTTAGATTCAAGCTCCATTTGCATATTATAAATCTTTCTGTTTTATTAACCCTCTATAATCTTTTGTTTTAGTATTTCCATTTAGTATGTAACTGGGTAATGGCCACCATAAACTGCAATTATCCTACATACAAGTTGATCATCATATTGTTTTTAAGTTAACACGTTAGTGGAATCAAGATTTAAAGCATAGATAAGAAACTCTTTCAGCTACTCTAAATTCAACGTCACAGAGGTTCACATGAGTCATATTCTTAGAAGGGAGCAAAGTAATGGGACCAAGAATGAAAGCATTAACTGAGACTGTGACTACACAACAGGAAAAATACATATAGGTCCACTGTGAAACTACACCCAGGAAATTGGACTTCCCTGGGCTAATTCATTTCAGATTACCACAGAGGAGTCAGGAGAGAGAGGGAAGGAAATTGGCACTCAACATTGTTTGCAGCTTGTTAAAGTATCTCCTTAATGTGGTCTCCTTCTAATAAAAGAGCTGGATCACCTGGTGTCCATGAACTCAAGTTTATCAGTCCATAAATTGAATTCTGCTATGTACAACTTTTCAATACTTTTAAGTACACGTTTCTTCTGCCCTATTTCCCTATTTGTTTGTAAATTTTGCAGTAAAAATTCTGCATGAGATTTAACATATATTTCCCTATGTATTCTTCCAAAATATGCATTCCTACGCATCATTCCTCTTAGTGAATGCATTCCTGAGTACAATTTTCTGTTATATATGGATTCTTGTTTGCAATTCCTACCTATGCAAACATTTTGTGTGCAATTTTCCCTAATGTATACATGTTAATGCACAATTTCCCCTAATATATGGATTTTTGTTTCCAGTTTGAGCTGCTGAGGCCTTAATGGGCTACATTAACTCACTTCTGTACCTGTAAACAGGCACACATCATTGGGCTGAGCCTGCTGTCAAGAAGTTACATAAGGGGTACATTTGTATAAGCACCCTACTCATATAAATAGAGTTTGTACCTCTGTTCATGCATTCAAATGTGGCCTACTAGCATACCAGTAATAGAAGGGCCATGTACTTGATTTTGAAAGCCTAAGTGTAAAACTGCAAGTAAGAATAATACCCAATAAAAACAGAACAACTACAGTACTTGTAGTATATACTAAAGTTAATATAAGTTCTCCCGCTCTTGGCAGCAGATTCACTGAAATTAATGAGACTTAAGTTAGCTGTAAATAACAAGCCCCATTCCTTTCAATGAGTGCAGTCTAGGTAGGACCAACACTAGGTTTAGCTCAATGAGCCTCTGCTTTTTCTGGACTGTGTTACATATGCTAATTCCACAGATTCATTTTTTCCATATGAAACAAGATCAGCCTAGTTCTTAGCACTCTTGGAGAGCTTCCTGGATTTGAGGGGGAGGGGCGCAACAGTGCTGATCCGTGCTCTTCCTCCATGCAGTGGAATGCTCTCCTTCAGGAGGTTAGGTGGACCTTCTCCCATTTATTCTTCTGGAAAAAAAATTGAATACCCACCTCTTCAAACATGCTTTTAACCATCATAACTGAGTCCCTACTTTTTAATCAGTCACGTAGGTACAGTAACACTTACTGTTGACCATTCTTTCCATAGACTATGGTGACTTGTTGTGCTCCCATGTAGCCAATTCTTTGCCACGTTGGATGCATTTCCCACTGAAATTCAACTGCTGTAATGTTTCCAGGAATATTTACATCAAGAAAAGTTTCATAAGAATATCTTGGATAAATAAACCCACTACAAAGGAAAAACAATATAGTGGACACACATTTGCATAAGACAGCCAGAACAGACTTCTTACCCACCCCAACTACACCGTTAATTTCCCACAGGCAACCTACGATTTCTAAGAAAAATAATCATAAATCATCACGTGCCATCAAGTCATCTCTGACTTTCTGCCAACCCTCTTCAAGGATTTCCAGGTAGGGAAGATTCAGAAGTGGTTTACCATTCCCTTCTTGGGATGGGGACTGTCCAGCTTGTCCAAGGCCACACACTCTAGGACATATAGTGGGGAATCAAACTCCCAATGTGTGGCTCTGGAGTCAGATACTTAAATCATGGAGCTATCTAGCCTGCTCCAAGGAAAACAATACTATGAAGATAATTGACAAAAACACATACAACACACAGAAGCACAGTTTATTTCGATTGCAGCTTGCTACTTCTCAGACATCTGGATCCTATAAGTGAATTGCCCATTTGAGGAAACTTCCCAAACTACAGTGACACCTTGGTGCCATAAGTGACTTGTCAATTGCAGGAAACTTCCTAAACCATTATCCTTCTTTTGCTCCACTTGATTCCTTCCTTCCATACTTAGAGCGTCACTTCTGAATATCCGAAAAGAGTCGCCCAAATGGGAACTGTTGCCTTACTTTTGGGTGGCATTGTTCCACTTCAAGACTGATAGGCATGGGATCACCCAAGTTTAAATTTAGAGGGAATGATAAACCCAATAGAAAGAATAATAAACATTATCCTCCAAACTGCAAGATCATGTTTTTAGTCCTTCGGCTATAATTACAAAGGCAATTAAACTTCAATCTTCAAACAGATTACTGGATTAATTTGGTTAAAGTTAAAAAAATGAAGCATATGGAAATCGTTTTGGATACTGATGTCTAATTGCCTTTAGGGGTATGATGCTAATCTCATAAGCACAGCAAACTCATTATAAAGATTGCATACATTTGTGCAAATACATTTTATCCAGCAAACATCCTGACTACTTTTCTTAAAAGTAAATCCCTGTGAAAAGCCTGGAGCTGAGGCTGCAAACTTATCCACTGTTTCCTGGAGTAAGGCCCGTGGGAGAAATTTCTGAGTTAACTGTTCAGAGGTGATCAAGGTATATCTTCAGGTTCGCCCCAAGCCGTTACATGTTCTGACATCATACCTTTTTTCTTTTGACTTTAAAACCTTCCCACTCTTTAGGGGACAGGTGCAACCTGGCCACATTTTGCCCCCCAACCTGTCTTATGCTTGTGAACGAGGCTTCAAAACTATGGAAAAGCTTTTTAAACACGTCTGGGGAAAATATGGCAAGAATCACCCTGGCCCAGAGGAGAATATGAGTCCTTTAACTTTTTTTTTAAATTGGAGGTGCTAGGGGCAAGTGAGGGAGCCCTTTGAAGTTTGTATGGGATAGGGACAGCCCTCAAACTGCTAGATGCTGCAATCACCGAAATAAAGATTCAATGATATCTGCAACTCTCAAGCCATGCACCAGATGCACAGCTTGGAAACAGTATTTTGAACTAAAAGTCCTCTAGCCTGCAACTCACATGTTGGCTGGAGGATTGTGGTGTCATCATCTGAAAAAATAACTTTCCAAATTCCACTGAAATCCTTCCACCATGTCAACATGGGAAATACCTGCATTAATATCAGCGTTGTCTGATATTTGTTATTAAAAAGCAGAGAAATCACCTTGCCGACAAAGGTCTGCATAGTCAAAGCTATGGTTTTCCCAGTAGCGATGTATGAAAGTGAGAGCTGGACCTTAAAGAAGGCTGACCGCAGAAGAATTTATGCTTTTGAATTGTGGTGCTGGTGGAGACTCTTGAGAGTCCCCTGGACTGAAAGGAGAACAAACCTGTCCATTTTGAAAGAAACCAACCCGGAGTGCTCACTGGAAGGACAAATCCTGAAGCTGAGGCTCCAATACTTTGGCCATCTCATGAGAAGAGAAGATTCATTGGAAAAGACCCTGATGTTAGGAAAGTGTGAGGGCAAGAGGAGAAGTGGACAACAGAGGATGAGATGGGTGGACAGTATCACCGAAGCTACCAACATGAATTTGACCAACCTCCGGGAGGCACTGGAAGACAGGAGGGCCTGACGTGTGCTGGTCCATGGCGTCTCAAAGAGTTGGACATGACTTAATGACTAAACAACAACACCTTAATGTTGTTAATGTTACCCTGAAAGAGCTGAGTTGTATTGAATTTTTGAATATGTACTTTGCTTCTTACTTCGGTGCACCACCCATGTGCATGCAGCATCCATGCAGCGTTGTCTGATACTTGTTATTGAAATTTACATGATTACAGACTACTGCTTCTTCCTTCCTTGGCAAATAAACCTTCTTATTCTTTTACAAGTAAGCTTTTGTTATTCACTGTCCATAAAACTTTAACATAATCTTTGAGAGAACGATGCAGGATTACCACTTCTGCATGTAGTGAATACAATCAGTTTGCTATATTTAGGTTGGCTGGTTCTGGGTATGAAATGAAAGAGCCAGAAGCAGGGTCTGATTTGTCCCTTAACAGCAGTCTACAGAGAGTGCTGTAGGTATGGATAAAGGTACTTGCAGAGTTTTTAAAAGCTAATGTTGTTAATGAAGACATAAGTAGACTCAAGGTAAATGCTGGTCCAAGACATTTTTCTGCCTGAGACAAAAAAATGAGATGATACCTAACCTGACACACACAACCACGCACATATTCCATTACATAAAGAAGCAAACCAGACTGACAACTGAATTTTATTTCTTTGTTAGTTGGCTTCACCCCACCGGAGAAGCAGCAGGCCAGCTCAACTAATAGCTGTGCCCCAATTATTTGCTACTATGGACCAACACCATCTCAGTTTCTGTTGCCTGGGGCAGGTGAATGGCCCTCCCAGACCTTAAAAACAAACAAACAAACAAACAAAAAACCTTCAGGAAAAGAGGTCAGCCTGATGCAACTTTAATCTCGATGTAAAACACAAATTAAATGAAAAAGCTGTGAAAAATCACACTTTATAGGCCTTAAAGACAGAGTTTATATTTCAGAGTAATGTTAAACTTACGTGAAAATTAGGTATTCCCGTCTGACCTTATTAGTTCCAGCCAAGGCTATTATTATATTCCCTCTCTCCTTTTGGGATCCTAATAAGTTAATAGATATACGTTCCCTCCAAGCTAAAAAGACACAAAAAGAAATTAGATCCATGTTGGATACAGGAATAATAATAATAATTTGAAAGAGAAATATCATATTTTTCCATTTTAAGATGCCCCCATTTATAAGACACACACACCTCACTTTTCTAACCCCAAAATTAAGAAAACCTAGCTTTGAGTATTCAGCCTCTGGGCTCACAATGTTGAACATTAGGAGTCTCTGTTGAATCTGAGCCTACAGGCTCCACCTCCAATAAGTGTGTTCCAATTGGTTTGTTCAGCATCAGCTGACATCAGTTCCCTAAGGCTTGTGATTGGAGGAAGCTAAGCCTCCTGACTAAAGGAAGCCTGTTTACAGAGGCTGTTTTGTTCTCTCTATGTTCTCAGCTTACTTCCATGTAAAAGGTGCCCCTCAATTTTTAGTGTGATGATTTTAGGATAGTGTCTTATACACAGAAAAATACAGTATATGTTATTCCTTTTTTGTGCAATTTCTCAAGGCCGCTGTTTCAGTGTACTGGGATACAAACTTCCTTAATTATGACAAATGACACCTTTTCTGAATCCTCATGCTCCAGTTGTGGTAGGCTTGGAATTTATACAGGGCTTGAGATGTTATGCTTTAAGAGGGATTTGTTGCCTGATTCATTCTTCCTTTTATCACTTTTTGCAGCACACGAACAGTTTGTTGTCATGTGTAGTATTAGCATTGTATTATCATGAAAAAAATATACAAGGAAATATTTTCTAGTTCCTTCTAATGGCTAATGCTGATGTTGCCTTGTATAACATGGAAAAAAGGATGAAGAGACCACTGAGCCATCTCATGACAATGTAGGTATTCCACCCACTGATAGCCAGTGCAGTGAAGAACAGAGTGACTCAGGATTCTTCAGATCAAATCCCCGCATAGCCATGGAAGCTCACTGGAGTGTGGCAACAGTAAAACCATTATTTAAACATGTACTTTGAAATTTCTATTAGGGTCACCATATGATGGATGTTACTTGACAACACATCACAGCAACATTCCACCCAAAGAGAAATTTTACCCCACAGATGCCTCATGAACTCTTTAAAGGTTCTGGTGATAGAACATTTGGCCCTACTTTAGTTTTAACTTGTACATTCCCCACTATGCCTCCTTGACTAGACTCGATGATCCAAAGAGTCCCTTCCAGCTCTGAAGTTCTAAGATGATGTGGTGGTAATTACCAGACCACAGTCAAATGCTGAGCTTCATAAGCAAAGCGAAGCAGAACAGAAAAGAACACAACAAATTTAAAAGACAGTCCTTGTCACCTCTGAATTGCGAGGTGACTTTTGGCAAAGTATTCCCAATGAATCCCTCTGCATATATGAGTCCATCTCTTTTGCCACTGTCCCTAAAATCCATTTGGCCACCCTTTCATAATCCATAAAACTGCCTAGGAAAATTGTGCAGGGCACGTAGAGACTAGTGATCCATCTACTTGCATTGACCAATGGTTTCACTATTAGTAGGTCCATGTGAAAAGACTGCAACAACAAGAATCAAGGTAAAATAATTCTGGGAATCAGCAGACAAGGATTTTGACTTTGGAATACAGTATGCCTGATGCTGCTGATTCCTGGTGTTGGCTAGATATAATTCACAAGACCACATGGAGATTGTTTCCAAAATGGAGAACCACATGTGAGATCTCTTCAAATAGCTGTTTCCTAACTTAATCCACATTTGGAAAATATATACATATAGTATAAGGTGACACATTGCAATTCCACAATATGCGGTAAATGTATAACATGCCATACATACTGTATTATATTAAATACTAGCTCTAAATCATTCTCTCAACCAGTAGTTGGCAAATACCAGGCATGGAACCTCATGTAGACAGATAGTCAACGATTTGAAAAAGAAACCATTTCCACTGTACCTCCTATAATGATTCTCCATGCAGAATAATTAAATCACCATCAGACTATTAGTATGCCATTTTCCCACGGTAAAACCATGCTGATATTGGTTCACAATGGCAGAAGAATTTATGTACTAAATATAACATTTCAAGATGATTCACTAACAGCTCAAAGAAAGTAACATTTAAATAATCATACAAATATTAATACATATTTTGGATTAGACCTGGATGACTGCTTTGATTGCCACATATGATCATTGTCTAGAGCTACTGCATCCAAAGCCAGTAAGATCATAATGATGTCCACCCTTCACCAGGAGATGAAGCACAAGAAGAAGCTATTTTAATAATCCCTTGATATGTATTCTCGAAGGCTTTCACGGCCAGGATCCGATGGTTGTTGTAGGTTGTTTTGTGGTTTGTTTGTTTGTTTTTTTGTTTTTTTTGTTTTTTTTTTTTTTTGCCGTTTGGCCATGTTCTGGAGGTTTTTCTTCCTAATGTTTCACCAGTCTCTGTGGCCGGCATCTACAGAGGACAGGAGTTAGAACTCTGCACAGACAGGGGCCAGAGTTTTGACTCCTGTCCTCTGAAGATGCCGGCCACAGAGACTGGTGAAACATTAGGAAGAAAAACCTCCAGAACACGGCCAAACAGCAAGAAAAACCTACAACAACCAATCCCTTGATAATTCATGTTGGGACTAACAACAATTCACAAACATAATCCAAATAACAGAAAAATCATTATCCACAGCTACATGTTGCCAGTTGTAAAAGCCCCTGAACAACCCTTAAACCAGATGATGTTTCTCTGCTAGGCACTTTCAGCAGCATGGACAGTTTTGGTAACTAGAGGCTGTTGAGGTGCTACCTGCTGAGCCAGATGGAAATCAGACAGAAAGCAAAGATCATGTCTTGCAGGCAGGCTCAATCGTTAAATGAACCATTTACTACATTATGTGAAAGTTGTCTATGCCCACTGCAAGCTGCAAAGACTAACTTCCTTAATTCATGTGATGAACTGCTAGACAAATGGCTAACTTTGTGAAGAAGAGAAACAAATAGAAGTTGCATCCACCAGTAATTCATTTTGTGTGCATCATCCATGAGATAGGATCTATACGCGGGCCTTCAGCACACAACTGATTATAGGCTCACAATTTTTAGTAAGGAGGATACAAGGAATACCAAAAGCCACAGAAAAAGAACATTTACTTCTGTTATTCATAGAGAGAAGCTTATTACTGTGTATGTGATTGGATGGGTAAATGGGTTATGAATATTGTGTTATAATCTCTATTATTGGTTTTGTTTTTTCCAAGGATTTTAAAAAGGAAGGCTGAAAACAAAATCTAATTAAACTAACACTTACAGGCAAATGGTGGTGAAGCTTCTGTGATAAGATAAAATGTTTGGTGTATCTCCTTGGTTTTATCTGGAAAAGTATCAGCGTAGTGACCCATCATTGGACAGCCCTTATTGGGACATGGAAAGCACATTCCCTAAACAAAACAGACACAAACACAATTATTTATTTCTGGATTTTACTTATTTGATGTCTCAGGAGTGGAGTACACTCATGTTTAATTGAGTCGTGCAAAAATTACATTTTGTGCTCTTGTATGTTTCGCACATCTTTTAGTGTTTATCATCACCCATTCAGTTAAATCATCTGGATTTATTTACTTAGCGGGATTACAAGCTGGATCTGGATGTGATACTTACTGATAAAAAGGAGTCAAATGCATCACACCGGTATCCAAGAAATCCATCAGGAATAAAAATACTCTCGACATAATACTGTAAGCCTCTATTATGTGAGCATCCAGCTGACCTAGAAGATGCAAATTCTGGAACAAATATCCAACAAATACTTTTGTTTCAGCACTCAGCCATTTAAATGTTTTTGTTAATTCGATCAACTGCTTGAATGTGTTATTGTTAGGATTTCTATTTTATCTGCTCATCAGCTGCAGCTTACCATGATGAGTAAGACAAACTTTGCCTTCAGGCCTGCGGCCTCGAAAAATTGATACATAAGGAAAAAGGATGGGGTTGGGTACTAAGCAATTAGTAACAAAGTTATTTCTTTTTTTTCCATATTGGGAGAAAGGCTTTACGCTCCCTGCCTTTTGTTCTTTGACCAGTAGAGGGGTCACAAAGCCACATTGCATTTCCCTTGCCCTAATGATCTCCTGGTGATGAGCATAGCTTATGTTTGAGTAGCATTTTATCCAAATGGCCAACTGGTGCATGCCTTTCTGAAGGAAGGAAAGCATAATTTCTCTTAAATGACAGAAGGCTTTCAAAATTATATAGGACAACCCCCTAATTTTTACCCTTGCCGGAGGCAGAGGAGCAGTCAATGGGCAGCAGCGAGAGGCGGTCAGCGCAGCTGGTTCTTTGCCTCCGCCTCTGCCTCCTCCTGCTGGTGCTGAGCCTGCAAGTGGTGCTGGAGGAGACTGCAGCAGCAGCAGGAGGCAGAGATGGAGGCAAAGGAGCAGCTGTGCTTGGCCGCCTCTCAGTGCTACCCATTGACTGCTACCGCCGCCGCCAGATCGCCTCTTCCAGCAATCGTCTCCTTTGGGCAGGGGACAAGGCAGCGAGGTGAGCTGGAGGTAAGCCCTGGCAGGAGGAGGTGGTGATTGGACGGCGGCGGCAGCAATCAATGGGCAGCCACGAGAGTCAGCCGAGCACAGCTGCTCGTTTGCCTCAGTTTCTGCCTCCTCCTGCTGCCTTCTGTGTATAAAATGACCCTCAATTTTTCCTCTAATTATTTTAGGGAAAAGTGTCATTTTATACACGGAAAAATATGGTATACCAATCATTCTTAAATGGAAATCCTATATTTATATTTGGAATTATTTATTCTTTGCACAAGTTTTAAGAGTCCTGTAATTTCATAGTTCTTTCATCCCTCATTGAAAGATGACAGCAGGGCGGATTCGAAATTTGGACAAACAGATTGTATTTGTTGCAATTAATAACAAGTCTGCAGCTAAAATATCAGAGCACCTTCCTCTTTTTGCTTGTTCATTCATTTGTTTCTCAAAACAAGCAGTCCTTCTGGTCAACGTGTAGCAATTCCCAAGCTCAGTGCAAGCCCTATCTAGAACAGACTCAGTGAAATTAGTGACACTGAAGTTAGACACAACTAACAAGTCTTATTCATTTTAGCAGGTCTACTCTGAGTAAGACTAAAATTTGATTCATCCCATCATTTTAAATACAGTTAGCAATATATTGGACATTCTAATACTGTAAATTGTGTTTACCTTTCATAACTCTATTGATATCCCAGTGTTTAGGTACAAGGTGTATTTCTTTGCAACCTGGCATTCTCTCTCCCCCATTTGGATAAAAATCAAGATGGCCACATGGCTGATTAATTCCAATGGCTGAAAATACAGGTGAGGTAGTGAGTTAAGAAGTAAATATCCACATTTCTACTGCCATGGTCAGGACTTCTTTACTAGAAAACTTACCAAAGTCAAAGAACAGACGACCTTTGTTGGTGTGAATGACATCAACAAACTGTGCATCTGATGGGTCTAATCTGACTTCAGCAGGCGTGTCATGGAATAAAGGTCCAGCTGGATCCAGACCTAAATTAAAAAATATTGTTTTGAGCACCTGTATGTTGCAGTGAAATACTTCCTGCACCATGTAAGTCCAGAATAAAATGGGGCCTGGACATGACAGCAGATGAAAAACTGAGGTGGATGGGGAAACACACAATGGAAATTTCTGGGATGAAAGAAACTTTAGTCTCATTATTCAATGTTTCTTTGTTTTAGCACTTATATAACAGCCATTCAACTTAATTATCCGGTTGGCTGACAACATTTAAAATGAATACATATTATTCAAACATCAAAAATCTTTAAAATCCCACGACAGTACAAAAGAACTGAATAAATAAAGCGAAAAGCAATCTAACAATATCTACAGAAGTAACTTAAAACAATAGTGATCTTTCAAAATCCGAAACAAAGTTAAAATGATTTCTAAAAGCTTTTCAAGTGTTCTGAACAAGTATGTAGTTTTCATTTGGCTCTCAAAATGTACAAACCAGGCAAATCTCTCTGGGAAGAACATCTGATGCAGAGATAAAGGTAAAGGTTTCCCTTGCCATTTAGTCCAGTTGTGTCTGACTCTAGGGCATGGTGCTCATCCCTATTTCCAAGCTGTAGAGCCAGCATTTGTCTGAAGACAGTTTCCATGATCACGTGGCCAGCACAACTAGACACAGAACACCTTTACCACCAAGGTGGTACCTATTTATCTACTCGCATTTTTACATGCTTTCAAACTGCTAGGTTGGCAGGAGTTGGGACAAGCGACAGTAGCTCACTCCGTCACATGGATTCTATCTTATGACTGCTGGTTTATTTGACCCTGCAGCACAGAGGCTTCTGCGGATTAACCCACAGCATGACCAGAGATGCAGAGATACCAGCACTAAAATGACACTTTTTCTAGTAGCTAGAACTTCTCTTGTCAGAAGAACTCTGACAAGGGTTTCTAAAAATGCCCCTAGAATTCAAACAGGTAAATATGGAAAGAGGCAATTTTTCAGGTAAGATATTCCCAAATAGTTTAGGCCATATTAAATCAGTACTTTGAAGTGGGTACAGAAAAAGATTGTTAGACACTGGCCTAAATCTTGTTGCTTTAGGTAGTAAATAGTGCTAGAAGAGCCACATTGAATCAATGGGGATTTAGTCAATCAATTCCGCTGAAAATTCCACTAATTCAAATGGGCCTACCTAAATGTGACGTACTTTAGAATTCATTGAGTCTACTGTAATGTAATTTACTACACTAAACAGCACAATTTTGGCCAATGTAGTTGTAGATGCTCTGACACAATTGTGCCAGTCTACAGTACTCCTGCCCTGTCTTGAACCAGATGATGATTCCAGATGATCTACAAAAGTATCTTTGAAATAAGGTTGTTGGAGTATAACATGTATAAGAATATATATACTGTCTAAGTCTGAGAAATTGTATGAAATCTTAAAAAGTATAAAAATTATGAAATATTCATTCATTCATTAATCCATTCATTCAATTTGTATTCCACTTCCATTAGTTTCGCAGCACTACTCTGGGTGGATTACAACACATATAATACAAAACAAAATGAAAAATAGAAACACTAAAACAGCAACAATAACTCTAAGAAAAAGCAGATGGCACCAAATAATCTCCAGAGTAAATTTATTTATTTTATTTATTTATTTATTGGACTTATATACCGCCCCATAGCGCTACAAGCACTCTCCGGGCGGTTTACAATTTTTAATTATACAGGCTACACATTGCCCCCCCCCAGCAAGCTGGGTACTCATTTTACCGACCTCGGAAGGATGGAAGGCTGAGTCAACCTTGAGCCGGCTACCTGGGATTTGAACCCCAGGTTGTGAGCACAGTTTTAGCTGCAGTACAGCGTTTTAACCACTGCGCCACGAGGCTCTTATAAATGGAGGAAGAGGGAAGGGGAGAAGATGGAAGGAAAGAAAAAAATGGGGGGTAGGTGGTTAGCTGAGGTCTGCATGGAAAGCCTCCCTGGAAACCAACATCTTTAATTGCTTCTTCAGTGTAAGGAGAGAGGGGGCTAGACAGAGCTCCTCCTGAAGCTGGTTCCATAAAGTTGGAGCCACCACAAAGAGGGCTGTACCTCTTGTAGAGGATTTATGGGCCTCCTTCAGGGTGGCCATCTGGAGGAGCCTCAGCTGGGATGATCTTGTGGGTCATGCAGATGACATTAAGAAAATATGCTCCCACAAGTAACATGGGTCCAAACTGTAAATGGCTTTGTATGCAAGTGTCAAAACCTTGAACCTGATACAGGATGCCACGGGCAAGCAGTAGAGGTGGGCCAGATACTTTAATTGATAGATCTCTTGTTACCATTAAAAGTGCATTTAGCAGTCCAAGCATGTTCTGAGGTATGTGTGTTCCACAAATACCATGATGCCTTAACAGATTTGTTGATCCCATCTGACACATATTAATAAATAACTATATTTCAATAATTATTGAAAAATAAAGAATAGCACCTTGATTATTTGAAGGTAATCAGAGGAGTCCACAAATGAGCATTGGAAGAATGGTGTTTGCCCCCCTTGCTCCTAGCGTCAACTAAGGCCGTAATACAACTCTTTTGCAGAAGAAGCATAGCTCCAATTCCAGCTGGCTTGAAAATATTATATATTGAATTAGGTTCCTTTTCAGTTCTCTGGATACCTTTTCCTTTGGATCTTTATAAAGTGACCATTTCCAAAGAAGGCCTGTAAAAGGAGATATTTGTAGACATCCAATAAATTCGCTCTTAGGGTTATCAAAATGTTGGTGCATAGGAATGCCTCAGGAGTAGACGTTGCTTCTTATAATTCAGGGAAACTCTCTTATAGTTTGAGGGACTGAAAATTCTGGTTTTGGAGGCACATAATCTGAGTTTTAATGGTTACTCTCCACCAGCCTGGACCTGGATCTGGTCATACACATAAAGCCTCCCAGCACTAGGATACCATAACATTTACAGCTTATACTTGGATGGCATGATTTTCATCTTCATCAACTGATTTTTAAAAAACGTTAAATAATTTTTAAAAACCTATTGCTCACAACATAATCCTCTGGGCAGCTGACAACATAATTCCCTAACCGAGACGAATAATGAATGAATGAATGAATGAATGAATGAATGAATGAATGAATGAATGAATGAATGAATGAACGAACGAATGAACAAATGAACGAATGAATGAATGAATGAATGGACACCCAAAGCTTTGTCACACAAACTATGGCACCTGTTATTCTGCTGAGGCCCCGTTTCCTTCTCCCAGCTTCCCCTCCAGCATGCGCTCCAAGACTATGCCCAATAATATGAACATTGGAAGGAAAATATCCACAGCTTTTCTGTATGAAAGGAGAGAAAGGATGGACATACATCAGACTTTTGGCAAGGATATCACACATCATTAGGAAAGAGAGGAAGGCAGAAGCTAAGACATTTTACTGCTGGAGGCAAGGGCCAAGTTCCCTCACCCCTTCACATACAGGAGCTGCAGCTGAGTTTTATCACAATATAAGTGATAAAATAAGTTCTCCACAACACCTGGGATGGCAGTCCTCTTTACATTAGCCAGGAGAGGTTGTGTGCTATAGGTACACAAGAAAAAGCCTCTAGCATCCATCTGAGGGAACTGTCTCATTCCCCCTAATGACAAGGCTAACTACTAAGGTGAGCAACAGTGGCAGTAACAGGACCCATGATTGCTCTTTGCCTGCAAACCTATATCCTCTTACAGAAATTCAATGGAACTGTAAAGATAGATAAGACTGGACTAAGAAGAACTCCTGGTAGGAAAGCTAGACTTAGGGTCTATACCACTAATGGCTAACCTTTTTGAGCCTGAGTGCCCAAACTGGGGGGGTGGGTGCAGTGGGCGGCAGGTAGAAGTGGAAGTGGGAATGCCGGGCACGTAGGTGCCTCCAGACCCTACGACGAATCTGCCTCCAATTGTGCCCAACCCCCGCCAGCACCAGCTGCTCCAGATCCTGGTCTGCTGCCTGTCGGGGCTCTACCACCGTGGCTGCAGGTTTGGCTGTGCAGGGGGAGTCAGCGATCCAGCAACTTATGGCTCGAGTGCCACAGAAAGGGCTCTGCGTGCCAGCTGTGGCATGCCTGCCAGAGGTTTGCCATCACTGGTCTATACAATCAAAAACAGATGTGGAAAATAACAACTTGAACATTTAGGAATTGTAATGTTGAATCTAACCTATTGTAACCATAGAATCATAGAAAAGTGAAGTTGGAAGGGGCCTACAAGGCCATCAAGTCCAGCCCCCTGCTCAATGCAGGAATTCAATCAAAGCATATCTGCCCCTTTTTGAGCGCCTGTCAGGGGCCTCTACTTTTCGGGAGGGGGTAGGATTGCTCTGGTTTGCATCATTCCAGAATGTGTGATCACTGGAACTGATCTAAAGCAAGCCTTCCAGTTTGCCAATACAGTATTGTGAAATACAGTGGTGTCCTGACTTGAGAATTTAATCCGTATTGGAAGGTGGTTCTCAAGTCAAAAAGTTCTCAGGTCAAATCTGCATTTCCCATAGGAATGCATTGAAAACCATTTGATCCGTATCTGCTCTTTTCCGTCCATAGAAACTAATGGGAAGCTGCTATTCCGCCTTCGACCACTAGAGGGGGATATTTTGTTTCTTTTTTTCCCTTAGGTCAAGAAAGGTTCAGGGAAGGCAGGGAAAATACAGTCCAGGCAGTACCAGGCAGTCCGAAGACTCCCAATCCACTCTCTAAACGCTGGGAGGAGTGAGGAAGCAGACAGGGACCCTTTTCACTGGCCAACAGTTAACTGAAAGTTCAAATTTTGCACTTTCCCTGCCTCCCACGTGGTTTTTTTTCAGTTCTTACCTCAAATCTAAGTATGTAAGTCAAGTCAATATTTTCCTATGAGAGCGGTTCTTAAGTCAAAATGTTCTTAACTCGAGCCGTTCTTAAGTCAAGACCCCACTGTAGCTTAATAAAAAGTCATTTCAGAATATTGGAAAATTAAACTTCCTCAGCTCTGTGGAAGTGTTTAATTTTCAAAGGCAGTGTGGGGAAGCTGCCTTTGGAAAACCGAACCCTTCTCTCTGTGCTTGTGCCCCTGTCTGTCTGTGTGTGGGCATGTGTGTGATGGAGGGTTTGTCTTTTTAAAATGGGCAAAGAGAGCAGCAGTGGTGGAAGGAGAAGATGGGAGGGGCCTTTTGTTTCCTTTTCTCTTCAAGATATATAAAAATAAAAATCCTACTCATTTCCTCCTCCTGTTTCCTTCCACTTCTGACCGAGGGCTGGTGGGAACCAAATAAGGTTGCCTAAGGTCTGTATGCCACTTGGATGTGAGGATCAGACCAACTGATATACTGGACTTCCTAATGATCCTGTTTAGCCTGATCCAGTCCAATCCAAAACTGACATGTAGACAAGCCCTGAGGTATTTAAGGAGTGGTTTTACCAGTCCCCGATGAGTTTCCACACATGTACAAACTGCACCCATTCCCAGTCCCAATTCTCGGCCCCTTTGCTACTGTGTCGTTTCTTTCAGGTTCCAAAAATGTTCCACTGTGTTATAATTCTAAAGAGAAAAACACACATCAAACATGAAATAAGTTTGTGAGAGGGGGGAGAGAGAGAGAATATTTACCTCAAGATACTCCAGCAAATAAGCTATCTCAGCTCCAACAACACGGGTGTTTTGCACAGCTTGCATATAGGGGTGAGCAGCACCATCTTGCCAGTTTACAATAATACAGTTTATATCTTCCTTTTGAAGCAGGAGCTGAAAAGCCCACAAAGTAATAGTTACGTGAAATCAGCATTTTTCTGATTATCATCTAGGAAAATACTATAGTCGTTAGGACTTTTTCCACAATAATCCCTGGCAACAAAGAAAAAGAAAGGTTACTTACCTGTAACTCTGGTTCTTCGAGTGGTCCTCTGTGAATTCACACTAATGGGTTAAATCTGCACTTGTGCAGAGGCCTCGGAATATTCTAGAGCTTAAAGTAACACTTTTGGCTCCGCCCCCCAGGACCCCATGGTCCGCCCGCCCTAACAGTTACCTCAGTTCCCCAAATTCCGCTGCTGCTCTAAGGTGAGACAGCCGTGACGGAAAGAGGGGAGGACGGGCGGGACGTGTGAATTCACAGAGGACCACTCGAAGAACCAGAGTTACAGGTAAGTAACCTTTCTTTCTTCTTCGTGGCCTCTGTGAATGCACACTAATGGGTGATTAGCAAGCTTGCCTCTGATAGGAGGAGGGATGTCACGGCAAAACAGCAGACAGGACCGCACGTCCAAAAATGACATCCTCCTTGGCCCGCAGATTCAGGCAATAGTGAAAGATGAAAGCTGACGGAGTGGGCCAAATGTCAGCTGTGCAGGTGTCTGACAGCGGGACACCCTTGAGGAAAAGCTGTAGAAGTGGCCCAAGTTCCGGTAAAGTGAGCGTTCACCGGGCGCAGGCGATTAGACTTGCGGGGGGAAAAACAGTCCTGCAAACATAGAACGATAATGCTCTGCGAACATCTAGCAGGTGAAGAGACCTCTCTACATCTGTAGGCAGTTAGGAAAGAAAGTGGGCAGACTGATATGAAACTCAGTAGAAACTTTAGGTATGAAGGAGACATCTGGGAACAGTATAACTTTGTCCAGGTGGCAAAGTAGGAAGGGAGGATCCACCTGAAGTGCTACTGGAAGTAACTGCAACTAAGAAATAACCTTGAAAGTCAACAAATGTCCAGCAATTGTGGTCAGTGGCTCAAACGATGAATGCGAGAGGCACTCAGGACAGTGTGAAGAGTCCACTGTGGTATAGACTGGCCCCGTGGAGGGTAAAGGTTTGCCGTACCACGGGAAAACCTCTTCATTTAGGGTAGCGAGTAGTAATTTTGGTAAATGCCAGCCAATTGCAGAAATAGAATTGATTGGTAGAGGGCTTCCTGGAGTGTGATAATATGG